TCGCCATGTCGACATTCGCGGATATAGCAGCTATATAGCTTGTTATTAGGGTCAGTGACACGGTCACCTCTATGCACGTCGGTCCCGACGTTTGACGTCTTGAAGATGTCAATTAGCTCTTTAAAAACGTCGAAGGCGATGTATCGTTTTTAGATAAATGGTTTCTCATAATTTTTGTCATTATTGACTAATAAAATGTATCAGCCGTTGTGCAAGTACGCCTGTACGCACAGGCTTACATATACTACCCTTCTTTTGAAATGTATCGTACTTTATTGTGTCGATTGTTTTTGTGGATTCCGTCTCTGTTGTTTCCCATTTTGTGCACATTCCAGGGTCACTTCGTAATTTTTGGCCTGTTGCACCTATTTGTCCTAATGGCAAGATTACATGTGTTTCTTAGGCGTGTGCAAGAAACCCACATATTGGGGCCACTTACGATCGTCAACTGACTTTAAGCATACATTTTTATATTGCAGAAAATAAGTTAGGTTTCCATGCTAAAGCTATCATTAGGACTACAATGACAGCTCTTCGTAATACCTGCATTGCCGTAACCGTCGCAATCATATAATACGACACTACAGTTTAAATATCAGTGCCGTTATGGGATTTGTTGGAGCAACGCGGAAGGGAGCCATCTACTTCGATGCGGGTTCCTCTTTTTATTACTGAGTTTCAAGTCACCGAAACCTGTATCGACTGAAACGACGACGGGGTGTTCTTGCCTGATGTCTTGCTCACTGCAGGATAACTGGTAACGAAGTAGCAGACCTGACAAAAACCGAAAGCGCCCAACCGCAAGAAGAAACTTATTGACACCCAAGTTACAATATCACCACGATTTCCCACGACAAGTGTACGTGAAACTTAGAAGAAACGAAGAATTATGCTGAAAATGGCTCCCAGGGGTGCGGATGCTCCTTAACCGAACACGGACTGGTCACTATCTGAATTTTCTCCATTAGCTTGGCTATGATACCTGCTAAAAATTGAGACATGAGCGTAGAGGCGCATGCGTATAATGCCCTTCTGTCTAGTCTGTCCCAAATCGGGATTGAATGCTATATGAGGCAAGTTCCGGTTCAAATATATGCTGGTTAGCATGAAACGTGACAACGTCCGTCGACTCGTGGTTGATGATGTCCACTACTCACCCTGTCTGCATAAGAAATCGTACTATCGGCCACCAGACATTAACAGGATCTAAGCCCACCATCAACGCTCTCGGTCATGGCTGCTACCAGGCTCGTAGACAAAGAACATCCCCACCATTAGCACATCCTGCCAGCTATTCTGCTTGTGTGTTATCTGTGACTATGACATGAATAACAACAAATGAAATATCAGCAGAAGAGCATAGATTTTCATGAGGTTTCTTGGAATTTGTGAGTACTGGCGGGTGCCCAACAGCCACTCGGACT